CAGTTCACACATTATGATTTACCTAATATTTTTTTTACTAGAAATAAAGATGTTAGCTAAGTCATACTGTATGCAAAACGTCAAGTGATTAACTCTAAATCACTACCTGAAATTCTGTTCAGCCATGTGGGTGCGTGCGTGCAAGGGAAAGCTTGAGAACTAAATGTGAAAGTGCTTATTTGTAGTTTAGTCATCAACTCTTCCTCTGAAAAGTGACAGTGTTATACTTCAATAATTCGTACTTAAAGTGGAACTTAAAAAAGTAGCCCATACAGCTTCGAATTCCATTGAATGAAACGAAAAAAACTGCTTGTGATGATGTGACGTTGTGCAAACGCGAACATATTCCATCTATGAATTCATACAAGTTTGCATGTTTGAGCTATTCAAAAAGTGTACTTTCTGAAAGAAGAAACCCTGTGTGTCCAATAATGCACGAACAACTCCTCTGCAACAAAGTATTGATCGGATTACGGTAACGACGTTCTCTTTTGCCGCCGTTTTTCTTCTTTTGTTTTTCGTCGGTCACCATTTCTCTACATTCGTATAGGAATAAGCTTAGTTACTAACCTATCCATATGCAAATGTAGTCGACATTAAAAAATTTGCAAGCCTCAACGTCTTTTCTTTTCCTAGTTATCGAGTACAGTGATAATTTTCATATCTAAGAGCTGAACTCTTACGTATGAAAAAACTTCATTATTTTTAAATAGATAAGTGCACTTAATGCGCTTACGGTGCAGTGGTTAGAGATCCCTTGAAATATACATTGTGTCGGTGGTTGTTGGTTCGATTCTCTGCTCGTGGCTTATCCTTCGGGGGCCGATAAATTAGTGCCTGACTCTGCTGGGAAGATGAGAAACATTAATTTGGCCCATAGTTAGACGGTGGTAAGTTATCGTCTGTGGTAAATAGACATTCAGTCATCTCTACATTGCTACAAATGTGGTCGAATGCACAACTCATTCGCTAGTGATTGATACAACGCTGGACAACTTATCCTTGTTCTAAGTGAATTTGGTTAGCATACCATGAAAATAAGGCATATCTGCGTGTTTTGTGTTCGTTTTGATTTATTAGTCTCCTTCATAACAGGAGTTGCGAATTAATATGAACTCTCACATGACTATATCCATTTCGAACAAAAAATAGCGCATAAACTTCGTGCTAAACGCACTTTCTCTTAAAATTGCATAAGTTCTAGGATGCGAAAGCAGTGATTGTTTTTTGTTTAAATGGATGTTACAAACATATTTTGCAACGGGTTTTCGTTGCTTCCATCACCGTCGTGTTTCGAAGTCACCGTTCAGGTTTTGCATCGAATTTATACTGTATTTTTTTGAAAGAAATTCCATAGTTAATACGCATTTCGATTCCATTACTCTCTGTATTGCTAATATTTCGCCGCGAAATGGTATCTTACTAGATTTGGGTTTTTTTTTGGTCAAACATAAAAGATGTCGTAGCGATACTGAATTCCCAGCAGCTGAGCTTGGAATTTATGCAAGTGTCCGCGTAGCCCTTCTGCTCCAGTGCTGCCTTGGAGAGAATGAGGCTCCTTTAAAACTAATGAAAACAAAAACCAAAAAAGCAAAAGAAATCCGTTTGTCGTATCATCGTCAATGCCACGTTTTTGTTGCTCACATCATTGTCGTTGACGAGCTTAAATGAAAGCCGTCAGATGCTGATTCCATTAAAATTTCGTCAGTATTTATCCATTTTATGGGTTACGGTAATCCTTTAGGTGCTCTATGAGCCACATATTCTCCATACCTGCTTAGTTTCTTTTGTGATGGATTGACGAAATCAGGTTGAAAGCGACGCCGCCGTATTGTTCTGATTGGACGTAGTTGCTCGACAACAACACGTTTTCGTCAATATTGTACGAATGGGCATAGCGAAAATTTCCTGGATTTTCTCCGTAATACTGTTTTCGAAAACGGTTGATGGTGTTCATGCAGGAAATCGTCAATAGTTGGTTTTATACTGATGCATTTAGGCCAAAGCAACAACGAGATGTAGGCTGAAGCTTGGACTCCAATATCCCTCTGCTACCTGTTCAAATACTTCCTTTGATATTCCTGCAAGTTATATTTTTCTGGGCAGTGACTGTTATAAGAGCTAAGAGTTATGACTACTAACTTAAAACATGTTCAATGCTTACAAGCTATCAGTTCTACCTACTTTTTACTCGTCATACCATTTGAAGAGACGATAACATTAATTGTAATGAGCACGAAGCTCTTCGAAAAGCAATGACGTTAGTGGTGTTTTTTCAGCGAAATAAGCATAAGATGCAAATGTTTTCAACGTACCCTGATTACATATGCAAAACATGGAAGTATCTGGCTTTAATTTAACTAAAAGCACCATTTGTATCGACTTTTGCAGGACTTCATCTGGCGGCATTTCTTCATTAACGTTACTGCGTGTTACAGTGTGAGAAAGAAATAATTACCGCTATGAACTATGCATGAAATTACGATTTTGGACCAAATCCGGACCTATTCGATGCCCGTAGTATCCCATATAATCCTCTAAATCATCAACGAACCAGACGTACAACACCAATAAAGCCTCCTTTCATTCAAGTCGGTAATATGAGCTCTGCGTAGGCTTCTCCCATAGAGAGGAGAACACGGAAACCATCACACCTCTGAAGAGAATAACAATTGATGGTTCATTATACTTTGATATAACGTAGTTTTCACCTTGGGGAACTTTTGGACGAAAATTCTGAACTCCTTAGCTTGCGCGAGCTTTTTTGGAGGACCAATGGTTGTACGTTGTTCGATACCAAGGAGCACCTCTAAGGTCTGATTAGTCACTTAGGTACGCGCCATGGTATTCGAGTCCATTCGTCTCACTGTAGAGATTATTGGATGCCTTTTTTCCTAAAGAGTGACTTATGTAGCTTATTCTGGTATGAAGTTGGTGTATTTTACATTCCCAGACCAATCTGGTACTAATTTGTCGACTATAAGAATGTGAGAGGCTTGGTTAGGATAGGTGCAGGACCGAACTGAAGAGCATTCGTGTATTGCAGGGAATTTCTAACCATTACGCTATACACGTAAATATGAATAAACTGCTAGGTTACTAAAATTCCTCGTAGTTATATCGGCATAATCAACATGTTTGTTTTGTTGAGCTTATATGAGCTGGCCACCGACTCGGATCTTCGGCGCTGATGAAGACAAAGGCGTCGAAACGTCAGCCAAAATAAATATCTTTATCAACCCCGTGTAAGCTCAACAATTTAAAAACATGTTGATTATTTTACTAGAGAGGTTAAATGGCGGTCGATTTGGAAATTATATCGGCATAGTTATGAAATTTCTCCATAATTTTGACAATGTTGTATGTTTCTATGTATCTGAATCCTTCATTTTGTACACGATACTTGTGTCAGTCGTCTTGCAGTGCAGCAAGGGTTAGTTTGATAAATAGGTGCGTACGAACAGCAGAACCATCGAGAACTGAGTTTACCAGTAACATAAATAACACTCAGAACAGTTAAGGACATGGCTGAAGACAGAACTGGAAACCTTGCCTAGCGAAGAGCAGTTGACAGGAAGAAAAGAAAGGACTCAGTAACTGCCACGACCGACTTTCTATTAACCTCGGCATTGATCAAGTGATTTTCTTCGTATTTTTGTTGAGCAAACGCGAGGTGTTACTATTCTTTGTTCACGATTAAGCTGACGTTTCGGCGGATTTCGCCTTCTTCAGAGCCGCTTTCTATGAGGTTTCCACTAAGTATGTCACGTAGAGACCAACCGCACAGAAATCACGTGGAAGTATAATGTATATAGAAGAATAGTAACACCTAGCGTTTGCTCAACAAAAATGCGAAGAAAGGACTCAGTTACTTGCTAATTAAAAAGATGAATACCAGAAAAACATTTCCTATTCATTGAAAAGTCTTTTATATCTCCGTTCTGGCGGTGGTTTGTTGTTATACTTTGTAACAGAAGAAATCCTATCAGTCTATTCATCTTTTAGAAAAGCTTGTTTGTTTATTTGTTCTTCGCCCTTTTTTTCTTCCTGGAGCGACCATACCATTCATCTTTCGCTCTCGTCAAAGACACTGTCGACTGATCGGCACGACGAAAACTTGGTCTACCTATTTTTTTTTGGGATTATGCGCTGTAAATTCATGGCAAATTTCACGAAGTAACTATGTAGGGACAGTGAAATTACGATAACTGGATAAGATCTTAGTATACAACATCTAAAACGACCTTTATTTGATCGATTTTATCCATTTTATCTAGTACAAACGAAATGTTTACCAATAATTGGAACTTTGTAGAATTTGCTCCGTATATTTTGTGCGTTTGACCCTTAATTTAACTGGCGGAAAATGGCGGGCCGTTTAACTTTGTTGAAACTACTCGCCGTCTACAACTAACTTTATAAAGCAAAGTATATTGTTCTCACGTAGGTAATTTGGTATTCTCACAGGTTTTTTCGTGTCATTTTGTCTTTCTTCGATTATTTCTACGTTTTCTGCTTCCACATGAATCCAAGTGCATGAGACGTTCACACAGTTGCACGCTTCTAAACACATCTTGTACCCGTTTACACAGACAGAGAATGGATAATTGCGAAAACCGGCCTCAGAGAAAGGAAAACGCTACGAGCAACAATAACCGTTTTAAGTAACAATTCGTCCGGTTGCGGAATCCGTAAGGGACAGTCGGATGGATCCGGAGTCGGGAACCTCAACGGGTTCCGGAGCTGATGACGACGGCGAGGACGGACGCACCTGAAGGCGAACGAGAGTGCAGAGCGCGAGGGTGGGCCTGGGTGGGGCGTGCGCTTCACGTCAGACACGCAGACACGTACGTTTGTTTCGCTGCTGACTGCGGCTGGCGTGTGTGTCTGTGTGTGTTTACCTACTGTTTCCAACATTCGCAATTCTCAGTCATATCGAACTCGGACGGACTTCGCGAACATCGTCGACGACCACCGAATGTCCATATGAAAACCAGGATATGCTCGTCGTTGCATGTTGTGCACCTATTTCGTCATGGTTCTTTCTCGTTCTGGTAGTTCTGTTGCACACGGTTTCGGCCCAGAATGCTGTGTATTCGACGACAACAACCCGTGGCCACACGCTTCCGTACAATATCCTTGTCGTGTTACCGGCTAAAGAATCAAACAATGACAAGTTTGGCCTAACGATTGAAAGAGCCCGACCTGTAATTGATATCGCCGTCGAAGATGTGGTTAAATCAGGTGGTATGCCACCCGGATGGGTGAATCTGACATTTTGGGACGATCGTTACTGGGAAGACACGAACCTAGCTGAACGTTATGCCACCGTCGGCATGGTTAAAGCGTATTGTGAACATCGACTTGACGCTATTCTTGGGTTCGCCGACAGTTACGGGTTGGCAACTGTCACTAAGGTATCGGCCGGTTTAAATGGTGGTGTACCGGTGCTAACTACTGCCGGCATGCCATCAGTGTTGAACATGAAGAAATCCTATCCGTTTCTAACACGCATGCAAGGTTCATATCGTCAATTGGCAGTGTCGATGTACCAGTTAATTGCCTATCAAGATCCGACTGAAACATCGACACCACGAAACATATCGTCGATAAGCTTAAACTATTTAAAGATGATGTTCTTCTATCATGACAAGAAACGAGCTGTGAACAAACCCCTAAAAGACGGCGATAGTCAAGACTCTGACGTATCGTCATCACATTGCTATTTTTCTCTCTACGCCATAAAAAACTATTTCACGGAAAATAGTAAAGTGTTCAAACGTGAATGGCAACTGAACACACCATCGTTTCCATTCGATGAAGAACTTCCGCGTACTCGTGACACGACTAAACAATGGCTTAGCGAGGTGTCAATGGAAACCAATGGTGAGTTCGCGTAGTTTATTTTAGTATTTAATCGATTTTCATTTTCCTCTCATTTAATTTTCGATTAGTAAGAGTAGTACGTCTTGTTTGTTGTTTAGAATCATGTGAATCCACTGATAGTATGCAATTCGTCATACAAGTAGTGCCAATGAGTTTGCATCTCTTTCTTTCTTCCCCTCTCCCTCTTTCTGTCCTACTCCTTCTCTCCTTCTCCTTTCTTCCTCTCTATCTTTTTCCCCTTTCTTTTCTCATTGTTCTTTAGCACAGAACCGCTGTCTGAACTTTCAAGGTCATCAATATTCTGTTTAACATCAGTCTCTATATGAAAAGACCTTTGCTTAGATTGATTGACTCATTATTTGTGCAATTTTGGGATTCGTATTGATTAGTGGCGTCATCAAGTGATTCGTTTTTTGTTCTAAGGCAGTTTTTTTTCTCTTTCGTTTCGAACGTTGGTTGACGTTTGATGAAGAGATAGAATGGGAAATATTCAAATCGTCTCTATATATTATGAGAATGGTACATAGATTTCCAGTGCTAACGTGCCAACGAAGAAGTGGGCCAGGGTAGTGGTTAATTAGTGTGGGCCGTATGATCGGGGTGGACCAAGTTAAGAGGCTTATATCCTTGGTTTTAAATAATAATTGACGTCATCTGTTTATATTAGAGAATTCATATTATAGATATTAGTGAGTTGACGAAGTTGCAATATATGATAGTACAGCCACTTAAGAACTTCCTAAGCTTCTCCCGTTCAGCCATCTTCCCGTCGTCGTTCTCATTTCGAGCAGAATCTTGAGAGAAAAACTAATGAAATGAGTTGAACGTTTCTTTATTAAGAGATGGTAAACAAATGATAGGAACAAAATCATAGTTCATTGTAATGTTGTTTGTTCTTTGCGCTATTGAGAGAGAGGAGTTCCTTTTCACCGTTATTATCGTAATCTTGTGGTGACCAGAAGGTTTTCTCTTATAACGATAAGAATTGACATGAAGCTAGGATGGTGTGTATCTGAGACATTAGACTAATTGGAAAAAGGCTTTTTTTGTCGTTTTATGAGATGGTTGTTGAAAACGAAGCGTTTTGCTTTCGATTCGGTTGATCTCATTGTATTGAAGCAGAAAATGTGCTTTGCGAACAATCTTTGCTGGAATTTGATACGTCGAAGAAAGTGTAAATATTAAGTCAGTAGTGGCTTTACACGAAGACGTTGAGCTCGTTAATCAATGACGGAGACGGCTTAACACTGCCTGGGTTTCTCGTACCACATCGAAGACTAAACAAATTTTACGGCTTGACACGAGAGAGTAGATGAGAGAGCGAATTTTTTTCGTCTTCTTTTTCTGGGTCAGCAACAAGATGGACGACAAAGGATTTTGTCGGGTAAGACATATGTGGCTCTCAAAGCGAGCGCCGAAGCTCAACCATCAAGCACGAGGATCAGCATGGCGGCTTCCGCTTCTCTCTCTCCGTCTCTCTAAGCACTACTTTGGGTTCTTCTCGTCGAGATTTAGACAAAATGCAGTGTTGGGAAGTTCGAACTAATTTGCTTGCCTATCTGGAAATGTGATTGCCTGGCATCCGCGGAAGATGAGCATTCGGTGAATCGCAGTGCTTTTCTTGTTAATTGTGTGAAACTTTAGGCCTAATGAGTTTTCAGTGAGCTTTAGAAATGCGAAAAAAAGCTGTGCTAAACTTTTTTTTCTTCTCAAAAATGTTTATTTCTTTCTATCCGAGTGTTTTGAGTCGGCATTTCGCGGCCACAACAATTTTTTGCTGATTGGATGCGTCACACTGGGTAAACTCTGATTTTAGACGTCCGGTTTCCACCTGCTTTGTTTTTTTGGAATTGTTAAGCGACTTGTTGTATGGTGAATTAACAAGTTATTATTTTAACTTCTTGAATTCGCTATTAGCTAAACAACTTAAAGATGTTTTTCGCTTTGCTTCCAAAGGGAACAGTTGTTCGAACGAGTTTTTTTTTGCTGATTATTCTAGATGCCGTGGTAATTACTGGTAATGATCGGATTGATATGGTAAGTGGAACTCGTTGAAGTAGTTTGCTTAGGCCTTACTACCGTAGGACGAATAGGAAAATCTTAATGATGATTTCGATTGCAGTTATTTTAGCCTTACAATAAAAGAGTTTATCGTATCCTTATCGTATCCGCTTGAAACAAGCTTCTGTCCTACTGGCATAGTGTTGTAGCTTCCTACCTTTTTCTTTGTTCTTGTTAGTAAAGTTCATTGAGTTGAGATATATGTCTAGAGGTTGAATTCGCCACAAAAATTGTACACACTGAAATCAGTACACAGATTCTGGTAGTGTTATTCAGTTTCTATAAGGTGATTCGCATCATGTATTTCACGCTTTTTCGCTCCGGATCCGTTCGTCATTGGAAATTTCATGTTTTTGTGGTGGCGGCGCGTGGTGTCCCGCTATGGTAGGTAGGATTTGGCTGGAATTGCTATTATTTAAAGAGTGTACATTAGTTCAAAATATGTTTATGATGAGATGAATGGACGGAAAGTAATGTAGCCGGCTAGAAAACATGCATTCCAGTAAAGAGCGTTTTTTTTCTAGTTTCCTCTAATACGATTGTTACGAAGGCGGCTTACAGAAATGTCAAGGACTTCGTATTAAGAAATAAAGCTGTACACGCTTAACGCAATGGACAGGGTGTTCGATGATCTCTCGATAACTCTCAGTGACTTTTCGTGAAGGAAAATGCTTGAGTAGTTAGGAACTTAGTAAGCTTATATAAGATACTTTATTTGTATTCAATAGAAACGAATTAACCGATTAATCTTATGGCCGTACTGTGCTCTTTCTGGTTTTTTTTGTTCTGTTCTTGTTATAAATGCCAACGTAGTACTCACACCACCTGGTCATAGAGTTCTCTGTGTTTCGCATAAGAAAACCGGAAATTTGTATGGTTAAAAGCTCTGAATTGTTGTTGTTATAAATTCCCCCTAAACAATTTAATGGACATAAAGGCATGCTGTCGATTGATGAATGTTAATGCCGAATCACGGCAAGAAATACTTGAACTATGAGGCAGAAGGAAATACGGTAAGAATCTATATAAAAGCGACGTTTAATAAATATTTATTGCGAAGTTTGAACTGGATTACACTTAAAAAAGAAGATTCTGTGTAGCCACTGCGTTTGGGTTTTTTTTCTTGCAAGTTCGAATCGGATCGAAGACCGGCTGGTGATGAATGCTTCTTTGTTTGATAGTGACTGATAAGAGGTTTTCGAAAGCGAACAGCGCAGCACGTTGTGAAGATAGGACAGCTTTGTCCCAAAAATTTCGCATATTATCTTTTGTTTTTTTTGGTTTTTCTTACATAGTCCAGTCGGGCGTATGGGTAAGGTGAACGTTTTCGCATCCAGTCTTCTTACCCTAACACTACCAACAGCAATCACCCGTCAACGGGAATGACAAATTAGTATTAAACCTAATAAAGCTGAGACTTTAGTCGAAATCGCAGTGTATAAATTTTATCGGCTATCCATTAAAAAGACTGGCTAAGAACGAAGGCCTCAGTGGTGCGGTGTGTAACACGTGAGCCCCGCAAACATAATGGCGGTTCGATCTGGCTTGGGATATAAGCTACAAGTATCTCAGCATCATTGTGTTTGTCTCTCTTTTACATAATACCCGGCCATGAAAAAATAATGAGTAATAGAAAAATTTATACAATGTGATCTCAACGTTTTCTTTCGGTTAAATTTTCAGGAGTAAATTAAAAAGAAAACCTCTGCGATTGGGTCAATTCAATGTTTGAAAAATTGATTTGCCAAGGTTTTTTAAAATTGCTTTTAGTAAAGAAATCACTTCGGTTAGTCAGCCCGTGGTTTCCTAACGTTGGAATACTTGTTGGATTCTTTTTATAAGTGCAAGCAAAGCAAATCCATATGATGGATGCTTTTATTGTGTTTGGTATTTGATTTGCTTTCCCGTCCATCACATCATAGGAAATACGTGTGTACATATCGCATTGCAAGAATTTCAGTGTGGCTCGCTTTGTTCCCCATTGTTCCTAGAAAACAGCAGACAAAAAGGTTGAGGAGGATAGGGTTTCCCTCATAGAAAGAATAAGCTAGGTATATATATATATATTTATATATTGTCTGCTATTCGATGTGCGGGAGCAATATATTGCTTCTAGCAAAATTTGGCCTGTCAGGAAACTCACCAGTATATCACAGTGTTAACTTTTCTGTTTACTGTCTATTACAATTTTTCACGGCAGGTTATTATGTGTGTTACAAGTACAATGGTGCTAAGATATCTGAAAAACTCCAGACCTCAGGTGTGTGCAGTTGAAAACGAACGCGCTATTACTCTTTGGGGGGCCTAACACGTTCACCACCATACCATGCGGTCCTTCGTTTCGCCTTTCTCTCAGCTAGTTTTCTATCTATCAGTGCCATTAGCATTCACCGGTCAACGGGATTGATCTGGTATGCCAAAATCGGGAATGAACCCACTTAAACTGAGGTTGTACTTGAAATCACAGTGTTACCACTATAATTTGCAAATGCTGAGTTTCATAAAAGCCCTCCTTTGGAAGTGATTTTCGTGCGGGCAATTGTATATGGATGCCAGTTAAAAGGGTTTCTCTTATGATAACGCTTCAGAGTAGTTCTTATATCGTCCGTCATCCTTGTTCTGGTCACCTATAACTCCTAATTTATGCAATACCTTCAATGCTAGGCTTATCGTAACCATTTTTTAACTGGTTGAAAGTTTTTCGTCCTTTGGCAGAGCCTTTAAAGTATATTATTAAACACGACTTATTGTTTAATGTGCGAGGTTCCTCGTGTTCACGTTCTTCATGCCCTGCTTACTACATATAATGGCCAAATGGCGCATGATATTTTTTTTCTGCGCAACGTAAACACTCAAAAAAAAGTGCAACACTTTTGAAACGATCGATGAGGTCCGGAATAAAATGGACTGGAGCGGGAGGAGGACGCATGTTGCCATTTTCCAATTTTTATAT